ATAAAAGGAAAATACTAATTGCGTTGAATTGAAATTTATTATTGTTACTAATTACAAAATATACCACGAGCTTCAGGGTTTACTGTACGATATAAAAGTTTTGAAACTGCAATAAACCGTTATTACATTTCGAATATTAACGATCACATAAATTTCAAAGGTAAATGGAAAGGCACTAATGGTATTGGTTTTACCATTTCAAAGTAAATCTGTTAAATCTAGGCTTGCAATATCTTTCTGAAGGTTCTTTGGCAATTTTCCAATGGATTCATAGGTTATAAAATATTAATCATGTAGTTTCTATAATATATGTCTTTGATATAAAATATAGGGGAAATTGAAATTGGATTTAATTTTAGATATTTTGAATTCAATATTTCTATAACAATATTTTTTTTTACGTTTTATAGAAATTTATTTTACACTAGTTTATCTTGCCTTGAGGAGGGTATAGATCCAACAATACTTACTTTGAATATTATATCCATAACATCTTCGTTTTTCCATATTATAAATACAATTTTCAAAAAATACCATAGGTATAGTATTGATATTTTGCAAGGTTTCAATAAAAGGAATAATGAATAAAAATTGAATAATGCAGCATTTCAGAAGATAACATTTATGGAAAAAATATCATAACGATAAGTGCATATGGAGATAACCCCGAGTAAAAATACATTTATTTGATTTTGTGATATAAAACTTGTGAAATTTTTAAAAACATCAAATCTTCGAAAGACAAGGTATAATTGATTAATCATGTAGTTATTATAAAATATGTTTTATATACAAATATATGCATATGGTGGAATAATAATAAGTTCGGTTATTTAACTTGAATATTTGGGAATATATTTAACATTTCATTTATACATTTTATGTGTATAATAAATATATAAATGCTAATAACAATGGTTTATTGCTTGCACGAAAGCACATATACAATTAACTATGCGTAGTTGCACAATAAATATATATGTAATTTGTACACATGAATCCTTGAAATGTTTTTACAATAATATATATATATATATATATAAAGAGAATGATTATAATCTTGTATAATATATTGATCGGTTTGTGCAATTTTTATGCATTAAAAATAGCTAAATTGAAGTTGTTTCATGTTGGGTATTTTGAACTGTGATTGATGCTAAAATTAACTGTTGTGAAAGTTAACAGTAACTGGCAACTTCTCGTGCTTGGATATAAAGTAGACGAGCTAATAATGAATGCGTTCCATTTTGCGGTGCTGCAAATCGATAAAATGAAGTTGTGCAACATCGGGGTTGACAAGATAACAAATACCCATGAAATATTATGCGGTCGATTTCCTCGACAGTTTCGGGTAATGATCGTAATAAATGCCTCCTATCTATCTGTTATCATTGTTATCGTGCGTTTTTCTAACATACCTTTGTTATTGCACTTGAATTAAACTGGTTGCAGAGTTGGCTCCCAACAAGCCACTTACTTGATAAAGTCTAATGATTTCAGAGACGAGAGATGTAGGTATATAGATGTAGGGCATAAGGGAGCTCAGCTAAATGAATTTTAAACGTATCTAGCTGTCCGTGGAAGAACTGGGTCGCAAGATTAATAATTTATAATCGCCTAGGGTTATATTTATAAGCAGTCAGCCTGGAAATTATTGCTTAATTTTGCAATGATTTTACTTCGTGCTCATCAATTTTTAATTCACCCGAGGCGAGGCTAATCGGATTTAGTGTGAGCAATAATGCACGTGGTTTGGAATTACGGTCTGATTTCTGTTGAACAGCAAATTGATACTTTGCATTACTTTGACATTACATCAGTGCACATTTGATGAATAAATATAGTACGTAGTTTATAGGACTTTTTCATGATAATAAATAGAGTAAATTTGGCGTTTTCTGTTGACTAATTGCTAGGTAACTTGTACAAATTGTCGTAATTGCTTTACTGCGAGTGTACTCTTTGTATTAGATGGATTAGTTTGGGTTCGAGTTTAGGGATAAATGAAAAGGCTTTTATAGTAGAAGTTTACCGAATTATCTATACTTAATCTTATATAATTAATTTAAATTTACTTTTTAATTATACAGAATGTAGTTTTAAAATTATATCATACTAAAAATATTTATTCAAATATTTGATAAAAGTAAGTTGTGTGGTTATTACTTATAATGTAATGCTTTTATTTATAAATTATATACATACATACAAAAAGGAATTAATTGATATAAGAAATATAAATTTGTTGTTACCCGGCGCATCCGCACAAATAAACTTTGTGTTCGAACAATATATTTTGTTATATTGTTTTGTAGGCAGGACTCGCTCGTTATCTCTGCGCACAAAGCATTCATTTAAATCTAGCATTCCCATATTTTTCAAATGTCTGCAGCAATATTTTGGCTCGCTTCCAAATGCTTGTATTGATGTTCTTAATACAATTTCATCCTATATACAGATACACCCACTGCCATTTTTCCACTAGTTTTGATACGTATATGCAATTATTCAACCTTGAGTCATTACTGTTGCATAATTTGATAAATTTAACGCTTCTGTGATTGTTTATTCAAAATTTCAAATTAAATATTTTTCAAATCTTTTTGATATGATAATATTTTATAAGGATTATAAAAAATATTTGCTGAACGTAAATTTAGTTTTATTATTTATAAGTAAATATAGTAATAAAATAGAATAATAATATTTATTAATAATATACGAATGGTAACTGTTGCTTATTATTTATTAATATTAAAATATCTTTATAATTATAAAACGAAATACAAAACAAATTGCCTTATATTCAACTAGTGTTTTGATATTGATACTCGAAGCCAAAGAGTGTTAAGCTGGTGGATAGAATAACTCGCTGTAAAACGTTTCGCACTTGTGTTTCAAGCGTTTTATGCGAGCCTTTGATAAACTCTTCTTTATGTTACGTTTATTGTGAAATATGTCACATTTATTGTGTTGTTATTTTCATTGTTATTTATATTGAGGATACATGCATTAAATGTGGTGTTTACTGAAATGTATTTTACAGAGAAAAACGTTTATAGAAAAGTTTATTTTGTAGCTAAAATGTTATTTATTAAAGGAATTCAATATAATTTACAAAGCACATTAAATAATATTTGTTACAAACTGAATGCGGGACATATGGATTGGTACCGGTGTATTTTATATAAATATATTTAGTTATATTATGTTTATACATTGCATTTATTTGTAAGCTAATTATATAATTGCTAGCAAGCCAAAATTATTATTGTTATTATGTACACTATGATAGGAAACCTATTTATCCCATTTTAACAGTTTACGAAACATTAAAGACTAGTTAATTAAAATGTAAATATAGTAGTATAGTAAAATCGTTGTATTTTAGGCTATTTCATAGGGTTCAAACTCCATCTCGTCGAGCTTCTTGGTTTTTGGTATGACATAGTTGTGGTAATCGTAGTTGGGTTTTGGAGGAGCGGTGTTCTTGGTGAAATTGATGCCCGTGTATGTTCTTCCATCGACGTTCATCTCGCCCCATTGAATTAACTTTTTTGTCGTCTTCATCTCTTCACCGATTATTTTCGGTGATTTGTTAATGTTCTCTTTAATGCTCTCATTAATCACGTTTTTCTCTTTGGTCGTAGGCGATTTATGGGCCTCGTTTTTCGTATCCTCTATTTTTTCTTCATTCTGCTTTTTCAAGTTGTGCTGCTCGATTAATTGCTTTTGCTTGCTTATGAATTTATTCCGGTATTCAGCGAGATTCTTCGTACCCACTAATTCCAAACGACTGCTGCAGCTGTTGGACTTGAGAAGTTTAAATTTGATGCCTTGATATGTGTCATTGTTGTCCTGTGCTTTGTTGTTATCTATAAAAGTAACGCTTTTGCCCGTTGAATTTTTACGACAGTTGCACTCACTGTGCCTTTTCTGGTTTTGTATTTCATCCATTATAGCTTTAGTCATGGAATCGCACTTCCCCGATCTCTTATTCAGCACTCGCCCTCCGTAGTACGTTATAGATGTTCCACACTCGCGAATTTTTTCCATAATATCTTCGCTGACATATTGATCACAGCATAAATCGTTATCTAACGTTTCGTAAAGGTTTTCGTTGCTTCCCAGTTCAGAAGGATTAGAATCTGTGGCTGAACAACGATCTTTATCTGGATCTATTTGTGTGTATTGCTGTGTACCCATCATGTCTAGATTCTTTGAGCTCTGAGAACGAGTTAATCCACCCTCAAATAATTGTCTTACTTGCTTTACTGTGTCCGGATTAGGAAGTTCATCGTCATTGACTTCCCTATTGACCCTTATAGGGTGATAGAAGAAATGCCTTTTCATTCCATTTTTGTCTACCCCATCATCTTTACTTGATTTACGCACGAATTGCGTCATGTTTCTTGTAGTTTTACATTTTTTTGGCCCAATATATTGCACATTAGTTCGTATAGGCTCAATAATAACAATATTATTATCAATCAATAACTCCTGAAAAGAGTAATCCTGTAAGTATTGCATAAGCCCATCGAATTGTGATTCCTTTTCGCAATTGGCGAAGATTTTCTTTTGAAATAAATCAGATTTCATTACTCTATATCTTACATGATCAAATTCCGGTTCAGATGTGATGCTCTTCGATTTCACGACAGGTTTGTGATGTTTGGGTTTCTCTATTATTTCGACCACGTTTGAACTCAAACTTTCGAGCTGATTTTCAAAAAAAGGATTTTCTAACAACCCGCGACAATCTTTCGCTTTTCTCGTGGGCTTTTTTTCGAAGATCTGTTTGGCCGTTTGCACAATGCTCGGTTTCTCTGAAGCTTCTTCAACTTTCTCGAACTTCTTCTTTACTTCTTCCACTTTAGTTTGGACCCCAACAATTTTACATTTATGTTGTTCAGTTTCTTCTTTTGTTAAATCACTCTTTTCTGCTTTAGGTTGATCATTTACTATGTTTCCCCAATAATTACGCATAGTATGGATCTTTTCCTGGTATTCCTTTGTGATTTCCTTTTTTTCGCTCATTTTGTCTTCGATTAATACTTCTACTTCTTTATCTCGTTGAAAACAATCCAGATCGGTGATGTCTTCACCGTTAACTGTAATTTTATTTATCTTGGATTCGGGTTTCAATGTTTGTTTTAGATTCTTGACAGCATCTAGAAAAGATTTTTCGCGGTCTTCAGTCGTGGATTTGTGTTTCTTAGATTTTTGCGACTTGGGTATTTTAGAAATTTTCAGTTCAAAGTCGACTGGTATAGAAGAGTGTGCTGTTACGTCGAAGTGATTTCCGATATTTACTATAAATCTGTTTGTTGTAGTCGATGGTTCTGGAATGTTTTTATTTTGCTTGGAATCGCATTTGCGTAATTTTCTATCAATTTTTTCACACTTCTGCAAGTTCTTACTGACTGTGATATCTGGCAACGAAAAATATTGATTATCTATTAAGTTCGATGCCTTTTTGGGTTTGGATCTTTCGCCGTTGAAAGCGCGCGAGATTCTTTTCGACAAAAAGTTTTGCAGCGGTTTCTTGGATCCCTTTTGTGTTTCCAAGAACTCTTTAAGATAGTTGTGACTGTGTTTCTTGGCTTCTCTTGGCGACCCGTCTTCAGATTCTGGGTTATTATTGATTGATTTTTCGTCACTTACGTTTACGATGGTTCTGTACTCGTCCGAGTTTTCTGAAACTTCACGCTTGATATAATCCTCCTCTATGCCTTGAACTTGGATAGAAGTTTTAATTGGATTTGCAGGTGGAATTAGATTCGCGGTTTGTTCGGGAATTTGATCTATTTCTTTAGTGATTAGTGTTATATCGGTAACTAGTGGAATTTCATCATATATAGGATTCGCTTCTATATTTGAGAAATCTGATTTGTTTATAAAGATATTCTCATTTTCATTATCCTCTTTGATAACTTTAGAGATTTGCTGATTGCTGTCGCTCTCTGTTTCAGTTGCGTTCTCCGATTTAGTATCTGAAGTGAGTTTCTCAATGGGCTCGTAATATTTAGGGTCGTAGTCGGAGAGGCTGGATTCCGAATCGTAGTTGGATGTGTAATTTGGAAGGCTTCTGGGTTTTCCGTTGTAAAAGCTCTCCGATTCTTGGCGGTAAGGCGTATTTCCACGTATTGTGCGTGGTTTGCTTTTAGCGTAATAATTATTTTCTGCGATTTTATCGTATAGAGTGTTCTTGCTAAGAACAATGTTCTCGTCGTATGAGATATTTTCCTTTTGTCGATGGTTTTTGGATTGCTTAATAGAAAATCCGTTGATCTGAGGGTTGCTTTTATCTGAAATGACCGCCTCCTGTGTGGTTATTGTATCGTTTACAGACACGTTATCTGTGAAAGATAAGTCCGTGTCGCATTTGCTGTCGGGATAATAGTTAGGTAAGCTTAAGCCGACATCCGGATAGACAAGATTTTCATGGGAAACACCGTATATCGTGTTCAGCGATGTTTTGTTATGGTAGTTCGAGTCGAGGCTATCGATCTCCCCGGCACCTCCACCACTCCCCACGGCTTGAGGCTGCGGAAAATTATTTATATGTATGTACGGCAAATCCTTTTCAGCACGATCTTCATCCCCATCCTCCTCTTCCACTCCTTCGTTCTCCACGTGGTTTGCAACTATCAGCTGCGACTTTGGACCGCTTGATAAGATCTGCTGCGGCACGCCGTAATCTCCTCCAACGCTGGATTTCCTCTTTATTAAATTACGCTCGTTTGTGTACAGACTCTCCTGGCTCAATCCCCTCTGCAAACATCTATAAAACAAAGATAAAACATATAGATTTAATTTGGAGACTTGCTGCTATCATTAGTGTTAGTGCATTTTCGTAATTTAATCAAGCTCACCTATCTTTGGTTGAATATTTATCAATTAGTTTCGCGCGAGGGATGAGCTGTGAGCGTCGGTTCCTTGGAGCCTTCGATATCTCTAAATCGGTGAAGACGTCTTCGCGTGAAATGGCCAAGCTACGGCTCCGACGTAATGTGGATTCGTGGACTGCCAATTCTCCAAGGGGATGACTGGAAACGTTCTCCAAGCTACCCTGGATGAGCTTGTCTCTGTGTCTCTTTGTATAAGTTTGATCGCGTCTTGAATGATGATGTGCCTTGCTTAAAGCAGCATTTGCAAATGCGCCGGGTGCATTCAGGTTATTTATTTCTCGTTCCGATCTGAAAAATCAATTTAACTTATATTTGTACGGAAATATGAAACTTTTAAAAGCATATTATTAAAGTTACTCAACTAAAACTTTTCTTTTATTCTGTTCTAGGTAAGTGCGATTCAATCCATTGGAACTTCGGGTGAAAGGTATTTTGCTTTACACAGCTACGTAAATAGCAGTCAATAGGGGAAGTTTCCTGTATTGCGGTTTTGTTCCGATTTCGGTTTGCTTGCATACTGAACAAGGCCCGACCAGTTGCGGCTTAACCAACGGAAGCATTTCACGGATGTTAGGTAACAACCGTGCGAAATCATGACACACTGTTCGTCAACAGATAATTAATTTGTACAAATCTCTGAAACGTGGTTTCTGCTTTAACGGGAGTGAATTGTGTTATTTTTTAGCGCTGAACAAAAAACTGCTTGGTATTTCATTAAGAAATCGGATTGCTTCGGGGGCTTTGGACATGATGTCGTTTAATCGATTTGCCGAAGTCCTTAAGGAAATAGTTACGTTCCAAAGGGGTTTTGTTATAAATTCTCGGATAAATACGATTACTTTATTCAAACAGTCTTTTATTTCTTTAATACGTAAAACAGAATATATTTTAGAAAGTGTTATAAGTCCATTTTTCATACATCGTAAATTATAAATATACCGACCAGAAATACTTATCTCGAAAGCCTAAAGTATGGCCAATAAAAATATGTAAATATATAAAATTATAAATATATATTTTTGTGGCAAACATAATTAGAGGAAAATCTAATTATAATCTTCAATTAAATCATAGTAAAAATGCTAAAATTCTAGTAAAATCTTATATTCAGTAATGCAATTTTAGCCATATCTGGAAGGAAATTATCTTTGATGCTATAATTTGATCACATTTGCTAAGTGCACTGTGACCTAATAATTTGCAATACATGTGAAAATGCGATTTCTTAAAAAAAACCTCGTTCACACATTTATTCTGTTGAAAGACAAAACAATTGCTGGACATAGTTTTGAAGTTATTTGAATTGGAAAACAACAATTAAAATTAATAAAAAACATAAATGAAATTCACGAATCCATTTGCAATTAAAACTGTTCGCAATGCGAATGCTATAAATAGAAACTGTCGAATCGATTACGTAGTTTAATTTTTTCCATTAGTAAATGGTATTTTTTGTAAGGACATTCATATGAACAGCCTGCGTATTTTTTCAACCACTTTTCAACATTTCCATTTCTTCTCGCTGAGCATACTGCTTCCCTTTATACCTCTTATTCCTTTTCCGTGTGTCTCCTAAAGCTGCACGAAGCGCTTATTTTATTTTCATTTCCCTTCGTCCTTATCATATATGAAATATCAGCTATTTCCTCTCAATTTTCCAGTTGGACTCCTTTCTACCCCTCTGAACGTGCTCACGTTTTAATAATCCCACATGAATGTTGTATATGCAGAGATCAAAACGTTTTAACCCAGCTAACCTATCACATATATTTACTACATTCTACTGTACAGAACATATTCTATTAACAATACTATATTTGTAGTTTCCATATGAATATATGAATTCGATAGAAATATACATACATTCAGAAAAAATATGGAACAAGTTGAATCACATATATTTAAATTAAAATATTGATTTTTTGAGCCATCGGCTTAAGGTTTTCGGTCGTTATTAATGTGTGAATTTGAATGAAATCTTTAAGCACTCTACAAAATTGCCTCCATTCTAATAGCTGCCATTCTAGTTCCTATCTTGAGTAGTTAATTTTACACTTTTTTAATGTGTAACATAATTAAGAATAATCAAGATTACCTGCATTTATATTAAAATTAAAAAATATTCTTTATATAACGTGAAACTAATTTCTGTACATTAAATAAAAATAAAAACGTGATAAAACACTTTACTTTCAATTTTCTTGCTGTTGTTACGAGCACAGATATTAAAAAAGTTTCTTTTATTACTACATAATACTTTTTAAGTAATTATGTAGTGTATACAATTATGTTTCGGTTAACGGTTTTTAAGCAACTCGTTTTTTCTAGCGAAAGAAGTATTTTATAATATCTTAAAATTTATATATTAAGCTGTGTTAACTGAAATATCTATTAAAATTTTCTTTTTAATAAATTATTTCATCATGTTTGAAACCAGTAAAATGTAAAAAGTGATCGAATATGATTAATATTAAAATATTTTAATTATATTTTAACTTGTTTTCAATTCAACGCTAATTTAAATTACAATTGAACATGTTTATTAAGATATGATTATTTCAACTTGTTTTTTTTTTCTGCTTCCATTAGTATGAATCAGTATAGACCAGGTTGTCTGACTTTTGTACACATATTATTTCTATTTTTGAATATGTTTCAATATACGAGTAAAAATTCGGAAATTTTGGAATAAATTAAACTCGAATTAATTTTGTGTAGACATATTATGTGTATTTTTGAATACGTTTCACTCGTATGTTTTTACTCGTATAAATCCGGAAATTTTGGAATGGATTAAACTCGTTAAGCGAGGTTCCACTGTATATATAATTTAGGAAACATGTGCTGTGAATTGTGCTATAATGAATGACTTTCTATACTTGATTAACAAGTCATACTTTACTCATTCGCATAAAATATAAGGTTGAAAACCTCTCAGTTGATGCTGGTACGAGTAAACCATGTTACTAACAATATTATAGATAATTGTATTGAAAGAAAATATATTATCAATTTACAAGGTTTCTAAATTACATTACTATTGTAACACACGCATTGCTCTATTTTCGCAATTGGAAAATATGTATTTCTTCATTTGGTCATTACGAAGCTATCCAATAACTACAATAAAGTAGAAATACATTTACGTAATGACCACTCCAGAGTACTGGGACGTAAACTGCATTTCTCTTCGAAATTAAGCTTTTAAATTCAATTTCCCCTCTCTATATGGAATTAATTAATCCGTGGAGCAGAGTCCAAATGTGTTGATTAAAAGTTTGTAGTTTCTGGAAATAAGTTGGATACTAGCAACGAGACCTGCTCAATTTCAAGTTCAGCTGTTATAGCAAAAAAAAGGATACTCGTATTGGAGCTGCAGATTGGATATGCCAATAATATTGGAATTGAAATCGGCAAAAGCGATTGAACCATTTTCTGCTACTGCATTTCGCCAGATCTACTACGTGACTCGCATTATTCAATTATTATCGATCCTATCCATCCCTCATTATCGTCACCTCATCCCCTTCATTATTTTCATCATGGATGCTTTCCTTGCAATTACTCTTTTAAACATTCCTTAGGACTATTGTTTTTGCTTAGTCTTTTATAAAGAGGAAATGTTCCTTGCTGCAATCCAGCAATACGGATATAATTGGACGTTGATGATTGTTTTATGTTCAGTATGGACATGATGAGGAGGAGGTCACGAGGGTAGTAAATTCATCGGATGAAAAGAATAGTGAAAAAGAACACACACAAATGATGGAAGAGAGCTTCACAATGGGGCTTTTATGTTGGCTCGAAGCGTGAATAGCTTTTAGATTAATTGCTTTAAACATTAATCCCAGGCTTCCAGAAGTTCGCATTCCTATATACGTGTTTCATATATCTATATGACTATTCGCTCGAAAACAATATATTATAAATACAGAAATATTGTAGACCTATTTTTTTTTTTAATTAATTCAACAATGCAACAGATCAAAATAGTAATTTAATGTCAATAAATACATTTTAATCAATTTAAACACATGTTTTTCTCATTACTCTATAATTATTATCGAAATATAGATAGAATAAAAGTATCCTTACAAGTAGGGTTACAAAAAGGGAATATAAGTGATGAGAAAATAAGATTTATGAACACGATTTAATGCTATTGCCGAATTATATTGTCAATTGTCAACTGTTAAGATTGTCTACATTATATATATTTTTATTTTGCAATGGAAATACACAAAATTCGCATAAATATTCATATAGTTAATATATGCTAGAGGAGGTCGTTGCAAAATACTGCATAAACATGTTAAATACAGCACACGTTTATAAAATAAAAGTAAACTCTTCATTTTAATACAGCAATATTATATTCTTGATAAATAAAAAAGTTATAGTTTAATAATGCAAATATGCATTGTAAATTTTAATTAATTAAAAGTTATAAAAAACACAATTAGAGTACTGCGATGGAGATTAAAGTAAAATAAAAATAATGTTGAATGAGTTATTCAAGATATCTTAACTATAAACCCGTTGCATAATGAACATTTAGTTCTTTTTTTTTTGTCTGCCGCGTTTCATTCCACATTTTTTTATTAAGCACGCACGAATATCTTAATGGTTTTTCGCAGTCGACTTTAAGAGACGCTGGATTTCTTTATATAATGTATTATTTTCCCCGAGAAGTGTTTTAATTAATGGCGCCGTTTTTTGCGAGTGCGGATTTAGAACGTTTCGAACTTTAGTTCTTTTTTATAAATATTTTACTGTCGCCGGAGTGATTTGATTTTAAACGAAGCAGATTTGTATGTTTTTGAGTACAATGGTCGTAGCTAATACAAAGACACCATTCTGTTTGCTCGGAACCTTTCAACGCTTGTCCTCACAAATTAAGGGTCGTCGGTTAAACATTCGGAATCAAATTATATAAATGAAACACGTATTAATGGGACCGAAGTCGAATTATATCAAATAATCTCATCATTTATGGACATTTAATCTTCTCAATATTATATTACTACTATAAATAATAATCATCATCGTTTTTTTTTGTTTTTGTCATTTAACAGAGGGGTTTCCTAAATTTTTCCTGCAACGGAACACTTCATAAATTATGATTTTTTCACGAAACCCTTGTTTATTTTGTAGGGTAAAATTGAGAAAAATATTAATAATTTAGTTAGTAATTATTTCATTGCAGGTTTCCGCGGAACATAGTTTGGGTCAAGGTTTAACATATTTCGTGCATTATATATGTGATCGATTGATTCTTTAAATTTTATATTTTCGAAATGGCAAAGCATTCATAAAATATTAACAGACATATAGATTTTGTTGTTAAATATGTGTATATTAAAGCAGAACTACTTTATTATTTATATTTTTTGCGATTAAAACTGTTTGGTGCATGCGGAAATACTCGTAAATTGTACTGTTTTTACAATACAGACTTTGTGAAAACAATTATTGTAAAGTACTAAATTTAGAAAATGTTTTTTAATATTTTAAATTGGATGTTATATCATAAAAATTGTATTACTTGTATTTATGTTATGTGACATCTATATTATGCGTGACATAAGATACAAATGTCTGTCAAAATTACCAACTACTGTGACTGGAATTTGTATCACTTTTTTTACATATTAAGTATACAAATGTAAATATTTTATTTGGTTCTCTGAATCTGAGACGTTTATTCTATTGTAAAATATATTAGAAATATTCGATCTTCGATTCGGTAATTAGTTTTAAAATTATATAGAAATAAATAGTACAAAAGAGAATAGAGATAAAAACTCTAAATTATGTATAAAAAATAATATTGTGTTCTAATTTTTTAGAATTTGTTTTTATTTTCCTCAATTAAAATTTAAGAAATATTTATTGTTTGATTTGATAACTCCACTTATATTTATGTTTGGTATATTTTAATAATCCATATTTATTTTTTAATATATTTAATATGAAAATAAAAATCCAAACTTAATGTTACTACGCCTCCTTTAAAATTAATAGTTTATAATAAATGTTTTATTAAAATTAGAATAATATCTGATTAAACATTAATATTTTGGAAATCATCAAATACTTTAAATTTGGAAGCTATACATTTTAAATCCAAAATAAATAATTGGACAAAATGAGCAGGACCTAATGCTTACATGATTAAATTTAAAACGTCAAAATATTCTGAATATACAAATAATATATGCTAATAAATTAAGTAAATCAATTTTAACACTTGCTGCAATTTAAAAATAAACGAATTATTTGTCCTCAGCAAATATCACACAATTGGCATTAATTTGCATAGTAAATGTGTTTGCTTTTTTCTTATCAGCGTTGTTGACATTTCTTTCAACAAGAAAACAGTATTATATTTCCAAAAAGTGAATCGGATCCCAAAGTGATTTTCTCGCTACATTTTTCGGTTTACTCGTGTGGCTTTCAAGTTTGCCAATGCAAATTACGCTATCGAGTCTCCCCAACTTCGACTGCTGGATAAATTACTATTTGTGCAACTACAAAGATAACAAAGTAAACCTTTTACAAAGTGTGATTCGGTGTGAAAGAAAAGTTTGAAATATTAGAGAGAATTCAAATATTCCTTTGCTCGGCTGCACTGTCGAAGGTGAACACATTATTCACACTGGTTATTATTTGTAAACACGTAAAAATAATTCATTGTTTTAATTCCGTGGATTATGAAAATAGAGGTATTAAATTAAATTTATTGCCATGTGAAGCTTTATTAATTAGTAGTTGAAGTAATAATTATTACGTTGTTATATAATTGTGGAATTAATTATAATTTATTTGAATAGGTTTAGTGACCCTGGTAACTTGTCTGCAGTAAGTGTTGAGTGTCGTGTCTAAAACGTTTATGCGTTTGTTAAGATAGATATCATCATTGACGTTATTCGTTTTGCAAGTTAATATTCTTTTATAATTAAATATGTGGATCTAAAATTTACATAGATTGTCTAGAAACAATAATACAAAACAAAAAGAGACTGGAGCCTTCAAAGAAATCTGAGAAGGGTGAGGGTTTTGATGTGTTAAAGAGTGGCGATGCTAGAGTTGCCTTGATAGGTTTTCCTTCTGTGGAAAAAGTGAGTATATTATTGTTTGTGGGTCAATAAATTAATGTTTTACTTTTCAGTCGACTTTGTTATCTACTTTAACTAAAACTGAGAGTGAGGCAGCCTCATATGAGTTCACAACATTGACCTGCATTCCAGGTGTTATTGAGTATAATGGTGCTAATATTCAATTGTTAGATTTGCCTGGTATCATTGAAGGAGCTTCCCAAGGAAAAGGAAGAGGTGATTCTAGATTGAACCATTTCCATAAAGTTAGGTTATAATTGCGAATTTCAGGTAGACAAGTAATTGCTGTGGCTAGAACTGCTGATTTTCAACAAATTTTCATTTTATTAATCTTCATTTAATCATTTTCGTCATCTTCACTCAAAAATTTGTAGTGGTTACATTCCAACAATAAAAGTAAAACAATCAATATCAACTAATAATATTAAATAAATATATACAGCAATACATCGTATAGTGCGACTTCGATCAGTGCGGGTTCACTATAATCCGGTTTGAAAATCTTAAAACAAAGTAAATTTTAATTCAGCATATAAACATTATTTTGCTTTATACTGACAAGTCTCTTTTTCTCAATTTCCAGTTTAAAACAGTTTGGGATATTGGCTGCACCTATGATATATCTCCTATGAAATATTTATATAATTGCATAATATAATGGTACTAAAATAGGAACTTTCTTTTTATACTCGAGGCACTAAATGAGAAATGAGAAATATAATTTATAGAAATAGAAGTATAAAATCATGGTATAAAATAAGCTAGTAATTATTAAAAGTTTATAATAGAAATTATATTATCATAGAAACCTATGATATTATTCTTATTCTTGAATAAACCGAAAGATGCTAATTTCAAAAGAAAAATAAGATTCACGTCTGGGCTAATTAACTATAGGGATAGGGAACTATCGACAATTAAAGTTTCAAGAGGTTTCAAATTTATATTCCATAAACATTATAAAGAGTGTTTCAAAATTTACGCAAGAAGTAATTTTAATAGAAAATACAAGTATTTAATTGGAAATTTTATTATTTTTTTATTGATTCATAACAGATACAGTATAAGGTGATATATGGTATAGCATATCCGGTGAAAGGGTTACACGTCTTTGCTGGCATAGACGTATTCTTTTGTCGAAATTATCCATGACCTTTTTGCATCAATGTGGCTGACGTAGGTAGTCATTAGTAGTTATTGGCATAAACCTTATATTTTAAGGCATAACAAAAAAGGCATAAATTAAATTATTTATGCTGTATGGCATGTCGCACCGTCTTGTTGAAACTACATGTAGTCCACATCCATATCATGCAATTTAGACACCAAAACACTGAATTATCTAATTGATCAAGTGTCACTGATTTTTTTAATTAATCTCTATTTCGACCATGTTTTACTGTATACGTTATGACTCAATAAAAAAATACAATTAGCGATTAAAAAACAACCTGTGTTATCTATTAAAATTATTTCTTTTCACCTATATATCATTTTCATACGAGAAAATAATCGATCAGAAGCAAGTTCAAATTAAGTTGTAATTAAAAATATGAACTGAGTAGATTTGATAGGCAAAATCACATAATTCTTAATGTAATAAATTAAACTTAATTATTTATGTTTTATATTTTGTGTTTCAAACTTTTCGATATCTCAATGCCCTAATTGAATTTGCATTTAGTAATCGTCGAAACTTAGTATTTCCTACAATTAACGAACATAAGGACCTATAACTTGAATAATTAAATGGAAACAAGTTGTTTGCGCTAGATGGATTTAAATTCATTAGAATGCGGTTTGGTACGTGGGGAATAATCTTTTTCTCATTAAATCACGTTGACAACGAGTTCATCGCAATTCCACGAAGCGTATTCAAGTTTAATTACTAAATTCTCTTGGGTATTATACCCGTAACCCTTGGAATCTCCACAAAAATATTACGTTCCAGGTAAATATTATTTTTTTTTTCCGCTGTATCGTCAATGGTACATCTGAAAGGAACTATTTGCGAATAATGTATGATATAATTCCATGCTTTTTCCGTACTAATTGGATTTAGATGCGTAGTGCATGAATCTCCTATTGAATTTCAATAATTTAAATTATGAATCCACGTTCTAAAAGCGCTGCAATTACTACATGGTAATTGCAACTTTAAACCGTTATACGCAATTGATAATTCGCGCACCGTTTTAATTTTATTGGCCGTTTACGTAATGCGAGTTGAAGTGCGGAAACTTGGAAAGCTGTAACCGTATCTGATTCGCGTTAATTTGATTACAACTATTTTTTTCAAGAATTAAGTAATTTAATAATAAAATAATATTTGCAATATATATTTTAAAAAAAATAGAACGGTGATGTTTTTACCTAAGTATATAAAAATTAGAGACATTCTTACAAATTATATACGTGTTATAAAAAAAATATCTATGATGTGTGAAAAATTCAATATTTTCTCGACATTATGAGAATTACTTGTATATGTTTTAATAATACTCCTAATTCTTAACCCCTTGACATAGAACTTGTCCTAAATGTCTATAGTTAATTTCAAATTTTTATTTAATAACACAGTAAAAATCATTATTATAATGGATATTTGTAAATATTTTGACTTTCGAATTATCAACTCCCGACTTACGAACTCCCGGTCTTACGAACAAAATTCTAAAACCTCTAACTTGTTACAAGGAGATAGAGTGATAAAAAAAATTGACTGTCCAAACCAAAACTTGATAATTTCTTTAATAAAATATAATATTTTTGGAAGATGTACTATCTGTTTTGTTGCATTTATTTCTTTTGTCGTTTTTTATTAAATAATTGTGATGTCTACATTGAAAAATATTTGTAAGTAAGTATTGTGTTTATTTTAATCTATTTTTTCAAATTTATTCAGTCAGTAATACGGAATTTAACATATATAAAAGTAAAAACCATGATAAAGTGTGGTAAGATAAGTATATTTAGAAATATTTAAAATTCCCCCGACTTACGAATACATTCGACTTATAAACAAACCCCTTTGGAACGGAACTAGTTCGTAAGTCGGGGGATACCTGTTTTAAGAAATCTTGGTATCAATGATAGCAAAATACATATACAACAAACTAGTCATATTATTTATCAATGAGAACACAAATAAATACCGAACGTTTTCTTAAAAAAACTTATATTTTATTCATCTTTTATGTACTCTCGGTAATTATTGATTTGATAAATTAAATTTAACTCTATTTGCTCCATATTTGACCTTATTGGTAGATGCAAGCGATTCTGAATATATTTACATTTAATAAACTATGCAATGTGAATCAGCTGCAATAGTTGTAGATTTTCACATTAAAAAAAAATCTTGTTTTAAAAGTAAAATTAATTTATTTCACATTAAATAAGAATATAAATGTTTATAAAAATATCTGGATATAATTAAGTAATAAAATGTTGTTAAGATTATTACTGATTTTTCTTTTTACACAAATAGGAAATAAGTGGTTATATTTGTTTTATCTTTTTGTATGTTATTAAATTTAATGATATGCGCCATTGAAAATACAAAAATCTTTTGTTGAGTCATATTTTTTTTGTGGATAATTATCAATTTTGTTAATGCACGTCTTCCGTGTGCGAGTTATATAATTTCCTTTTTTGTTTTTGTTTACTCGTTGTCTTGCACTCTTGGTTTCCTGACAGTAATTACATAATTGTAATCAATTACGATGATAGTTTTGTACATATTTATGTGTATACATTTGACTCTACTGTTAATAATATGTTGAGTGTGGTCACAATCATTAACGGATTAAGGGGGGCCTCAAAAAACATGATATTAAAACTAAAGGACAATGGTTTAGGGACCTTTAAGAATGGTCTTCATTGGCATATTGGTTAATCCGCCACTGATCATGTTATTATTAAGGTTTTTTTTATAATTACATTATTTTTATAATTGTATTACACTTTGTGTCAGGTATAAAGATCAATTATGCTGAAATATTGTAAAGAGTGTACCAACATGCATAGATGGAAAAGTTGCCGAGCTTGGCTCGGAGACTAGGTTGGAAAACTACCTGTAAAAGGTAATTGAATCATATTGGTTGTTAGACTTAATAGCCTGATTACATTTTCAATGAAAATTAAACAATGTTTATCGCGGATTATACGTTAAAGTCTTACTTATACACAATAAATCTAGTAGAATAAAATTAAGAATATGAAAATTAGAAATAATGAATAATTTAAAAATATTAAATCCATTACATAAAAATGTCGCTTATTCACGTTTATATAAAAAAAACTTTCTAGATTGTTACATTTGCTTATTTTATAAATACTACATTACAATTATGCTTAAAAATAAACTAATGTATAGAACTGCGGCAATTATAATTTCATGAAGCTCCTGTTGTATAAATTCATATACATTTGCTGTTCCGTAAATTTAATGTGCGTTGTAAAAATGATGTCCCATAAAATGTACAGTTACATTATAAGATACATATCTAGATAACCTATATCACATAATGTTATTGATCTATAATTCGTCGTATATATGAAATACATAAATATTTTTTTTAGTTCTATCATTGAATAGAGAATTGCGAATGAACGCATTTAATGTGTTAAAGTAAATATAACGTTGATTTATCTCGAAACCTATAAATATGAAAACCATCCGAAAGCCATTAATTTTCAGGAATTCTATCTGTTACTTGACAGACCGTTTCAAGCAAGAGATCTCAGGTGATATATAGACGAATATAAGTTGTTTCGATGTGAGACTCAACAAAAATAAATGATATTACTATTTAATACTATCATTTATTTATATCATATTTATTTCAAGGAAATATATTTATAGTTGATATATCAAGGATATTTCAATACGTTGTTATAAACTGTTGTTTAGAGTAAACATTAAAAAGTTCTATTGTTTAAAGTCAAACAATAGAATCATTACATTAAATTGATTCATTTTATCCAAATATGTATAATTGTAAACATAAATAGAATAATAAACATTATATAATGAACAATCTTGATAATAAATACACAATTAAATACGGAGAAAAGTATTTCCAATATATCGATGGGAAAATCCAAGTAGATTCTCAGAAATTTTACAAATTTAAATATTATTTTCATACATAATATCAAAGGGTTATTGATCACTGTATTTTCGCCCTTTAGTTTTACCGAATATGGCATTTACGCTCTTTAATAATTTGACAATGTAATGAAATAGATAGTATATGATATGATTCTATGATTTATTTTATTCTAATTATTTAAATATTGTCTATATAAATATATTGTTTTCAACTATTTTCTTATTTGAATACGTAATTGCTTGAATAGATGATATAATTGCATTTATAAGCAAAAGAAAATACATAAAAAATTAAGTTTGTGGTAACTGTGGTTTTGTTACAAAATATGAAATGTAACAAAATGTATTAGCAAAAGAAAAGTATAAATTCTATATTCATTCATGTATATACTTAAAACTATATTTTGTAATCGAAATATCTAATACAAAAATTGTTTGTTTTCCAAAAATAACTTTCGATCTTTGGTGATTTAACAAGTGAGAATATTTTAACAAGTAAAAAAGACATCGTATAGAAATACCTATGCCAAAACATGTATTTCAAATAATTATTTTATCATCATAATAATTAAATCATTAATATAATTTAATTATTATGAAACAGTTTGTAAATGATGTCAATTAACTATTTTTTTTATGACAATTATTTGGTAATTATATTACTTTCAGTAAATTTACGTTTTTTTTTTAAGTAATGGATTTGATTTGAAATGTATATTTAACATCTAATTGTCTAACTAATTGAGTTTCGTTGTTCGAAATAGTAAAAAGATAAAATCATGATGGTAATAATACTAACCGTGGTTCTGTTACGCAACAAACAACGCACAAAAAGTACACACTGTCTACAAATGCTGTTCAACTTTCACTGCTGCTGCTGCGATTTTCGGAAACACATTTTACGTACCGGTGAAAAAAAAAATGGTACCGATTTATTTGAATCTCAATTTGTGCTCGATTCCACACGAGAGTCATTAACAGACTGAAGCATAATTTCACACAACAAAACTCGCGGAACTCATTGTTGTGTCCTTGCGTAGCCGATGTGTTCGAATGGAAAGAGGTATTGTTGTTCCATCTCCCGATTTATGTTGTTATGGTGCGTCGGGTCTTTGGTGTGGGAAATACTAGTTCAAAATTTACTTCCACTGTGACTAATTGCGTATGGCACCTCCATGGAATAGCCATGGTCTGTGCTAAAGGTAGTAGGCCTGATTGCCTTCCTCCTATGTTAGAATGGGGACCAGAACTTGGGCCGGTAGCAGGAACCATCGATGCGTTACTCTGGGGGTTACGTTTTCATTGTTTCCTTTGATCCCCTCTTGCACCATGCAAACATGCTATCTTCTCCATTGGAATACAATACAATTGCCAGGAAAATGTAATAAAACAAATTTACATGAAACGTGCACACATCCTACTTTTATATTTATTTTAAATATTTTTTCTATTGCACTGTCAGTAGGATACGAGATTTAGAATATCCATTCAAAACGATCATCGCTAATTATCCTTCAATTTATTTATTACTTTTTATATGCATAATTTATCAAACATAATTATGACTTTTCAAGGATATGCTTCGCATTGTTTTGCAGCGTTCAAGTATAGAATTATCATAAGAATTGTTGGAGATGGTAATGATACGAAGAATATCTTCTTCAAGGTGCAATGCTAAAGATGTAATAACTCTTTCAATGACTTTATTCACATACATTATTAGAAAACCTTCATTAATTTCTATTTATGTGCACTTAGTTTATTGTTTGTTTATTATTAATATTAGTTTTGTAGAAATTTAGATTAAGATTATTATATTATAAATTAGGAAGTAAAATAATCTCTTAATATATATTATCTATTTTTTTATCTAGTATTACGAACTAGTATATTTCTTTAATGGATTCATGTCGTTTGGTCAAGAAATTAATTATTAAATTATTTGACTATAGTCTGATAATTGGATAGTTTGACGTATTTAGAAAGGTTATACTGATTGACGTTTATTGATTTTTGGCGTTGATATCTAATATTAAATAATAAAGTGAGTGACAATTTCATAATTCAATTTACCATAATATCTTTACTTTGTTTAGGTTGTAAAATGTATGTTTTTATACTATCTAAATTTATAATTTTTATATCCATTATTTTGTTATTTTTATAAAACGTGTTTCTTCATTCACGGGAATTTCAAAGAGGAAATACCTATTACAATTAATAGATGATAAAAGGATTATAAATGATATATAAGAATATTAAATTAATTATATAATTGTTTGTAATTGTATTCAACATTTAAAAATAAACAATGATAAATGGCCACGCTATAAAGGAGTTAATTAAACATTTAGAAAGTATTGCACATATATTCATAATTAAATATTATTTTATACAATCAAATCAATAATATTGAAAATAATTTGATATAAATAGATTTAACAATAAAAGAGAAATAAAAAAAAGATTAAAATCTAGAGTGTAATTAATTATTTGGTACTATATTTTTTTTAACTATACAATTATACCTCGCATAGTGCGGATTCAATATAGTACGGTTTGAGGATTTAAAAATAAACTAAATTTAATTGAGCAAATTAAATTTTAAAACAACTACATAAAATATATTTTATTTACAAAATTATAGGTTTTTATCTCTTTATACAGTAATGTCTTCTTTTTGCTGTTTATTTTTATGCGGTTTAAAGTCCTTGATTAGTGCGATTTCAAACAGTGCGGAATTTTGACGAAACCCGCACTTGTCCTTTTATAAACAAATGTATTTTTTTTAATATTTGTTATTCAAAATAATTTCTAACTGTAGAAATGCAAAGTTTTAATCAATTTCTTGATTATTATAACATGATGTATTTATTTATATTTAATACATTTTAGTGCGTTTCATTTTATTGAGATTTTCTAAGCTGATGAAAATGCAATTCCGACAACATGCCAATACCGCCACATATTCTACTTCTACGTCAAATCCTGCTTCCTTTATCGGTTGCACCAATTTTCAAGGAATAATGCATGAAATCGGTAAAGGAGGTATATCACATCACGAAGTGTTTGTTGTTCCGAGAATAATTCATTAGTGGCTACGAGACATGTTTCCAGCAATGAACAATCAATCTTCTTGAACCTCACTGCATCGCATTAAACTTTATATATAAAATATATCAAACCAACACCATACATTTCCAATTTTAATTCGAGATATATTTAAGACCTGTATGTATTAAAATTAAATTTGTGTTATGCAATTTCTAAATTACATAGTAGTTGTGGCTCGTCGACAAATGCGCAACGTAACTTAAATAATTAAGTAAGTAATTGTTTCTACTTAAAACGTTGAGAAAGTGTATGCAATGCGGATTATTACGTTAAAATTGAAATCTGAATAGTTTTACGCTTTTTCATAATATTTAAAACATTCTGAATAGTGTTATATAATAATTATTATTATTATAATAAAAAAAACAAGCAACTTACTATTAAATTATTGACTTAAAAATATATAATAATTATATTGGGTTTTGTTATGATTTGAATTATAAAAACGTATTTATTTTTGTTGACTGATGTAATATTACAATAATGTAAATAAACAAAATATGAATAAAAATCTATTATGAATATTTGAAAAGTATTGATTACTCATTAACATCAAATATTCGTTTTTTTTAATATAAAAATATTAGAAAATTTTTCATCTAACTACAAGGTTCTTGGGAATATAAGTGTGTGTCACTCTAGTATCATTCCTCCATATATATCTACATTATTGTGTGAGTTTGAAATGTCTTTCAACTGTTAAAGCAAATATGTCATTCGAGTATTTGGAAAGTGATTTACGATTCTGTTAAAAGGGATTAAGATGTAGACGGTTCTTAAATATGCCAACAGCTGCTATCTTTTGATATATGAATCCACGTTGTGCGGATTATCCTAAGTAATCGCTCATACAAAGTTACTTCTGAATCGATAATATATTAAATGACGATTTTTATAAAATGTATCTTAATTTTACATATATGTGCGAGATAAGTATTGTATTTGACAAAAAAAAGTTTTTGTTTAATAATTTAGCGTAAATGGTTCTATAGAGGTCGATCCAATTTCTATATTTTACCTTACTTTAACGACAACCAAGTAGTAAAGGTTACCTTTAGATGCCTCGCGTGGCAAACTCTAAAACAGACCATAACTGTGTTATGTGTTGAAGTAATTTACTGACCTAAACATTTTCTTTTTCAATTCTTCGTTAGTAAAAAAAAGAGTAAAATAACATAATTATGATGGATAACTTCTTTATCTTCTTATCTTTTATTACTTTATTTAAAATATTTAGTGAAGCTTGGAAATACCGCCATCACTACTATGGATATTATATACATTATTTAGTTATTCAAAGCTTTACTTCAAGGCCAATGTTTAAAAAAATAACCTCAAAGAAATTGTAAACCAAGCCATGTAGATCAATTTAGAAATTGTCGATGAAGAGAATAGAAGAAATTTATTAAATGCAGAAGCTTATGTTTTTCTTTGAAATTAATGTAAATTTCGTACTTTTTATTAAATAATGACGTTATTTTATATAACTATACTGATACTACGTAATGTATAGAATAACACGCCAAAAAATAAAATAAGTTATTATTTTTATTATAAGATAATATATACATTATTATTTAATTTACGTAATACGTGCATGTTTCCATAATAAAATTGAAATAAAGCATTATTTCAAATCCATTATACCCAAGTTTAATATTATTAACCTAGTTTACATAATGCACGTATGACTACCTCTGTTCCTATTTGGAGTAAATCGCTTTTGTTGTTGTAAAAAGTGTCGCAAACCGGCGTTTCGTAACGATCTGTATTTTTAGCCGTTCGAAAATTAGTGTCAGAATATCTCGAATTTATTGCTAAATAATGTTTGGATTTGTTTCGATTAATTATAATACTAAACCAATTCATACCAAACCGCATAAAATGCACTATTATCAATTTGCTATTTTATTGCAAAAGCAATTACCGAATGACGAATTATAAACAATTGAATATTATAATGATTGCTTTGCAAAATTCGCTTTAAAATTACTTGGTTTGAAAAGCGAAAACCAAAGTTTCCGAAGCCTTGAACCACCTTGAAAATCCGAATATAAAAAATTATTTGCTTGTTTATATATGCTCAGCACACTTGAGGCAAATGCACATCACATGTTGGTAACCTGTTTATGTAATAAAACTGTGGTTATGTTTATTATCATACATCTCTTTCAGTCAGTTGTTGTTTTTTTTTTCCTTCTTCGGTATTTCTCCTCGGTTGTTTTATTGCTTAGATACGTGCGGGTGATTACGTGAGGGTCAAGGTTTTACGCGGTTTGTCACGCAAATTGTGCTTATTATTATTACTTTGCATATGAATAAAATAATGGTGTTTGCAAACAATGGATACATAATCGGTTTTTCAATGGTCTTCCCCTGCTTTTTGCTTACGTTTTTTTTTTCTTCGTTTGTATTATATACGTGTTCGCTTTTACGCAAAAATGAGTAAAAATTCACTTAATGTACATTTCCTTAATGTACATTGCTCGTTCTTCGTGATAAAACTAAAATTTAATCTTATGTTACAACGCTTGTATATAGAAAGAAAGTGTTTACAGGATAACTAATGGAAGGGATAAGAAGAATAGACAGTCGCGGTTAAAGTAGAACGAACACAAACATGAACTTTATGATTTCTTTACTTTTTTCATTTAAGGACGAAAAATTTACTTTATTTTGATTGACAAATATATTTATAAATAAGGCAAGATACAATATATTAACAATTAGTTGTTAATAATAAAATTGATATTATTGATACAAATAATTATTATTTTTTAATTATGTATTTTTTGAAATCTATAATATCAAACAGAACACCAAAAATGACATTAATCATATTTGATTTAATAACTGAATTGATATTTTAATTTAAAAATTAATCAATACTTTAAATGTTATGTTATTTCTATATATGCAAAATGAATTGTATGAAAAATAGCGAATCATCAAATAACGAGCGACGTTTCGCATAACGAGTGACAATGAGAATAGAAATTCCCCGATTGCGCACCTTCTACATCATTTTTAAAACTTGTGTACACACATTATGTGTATTTTTGAATATGTTTCACTATACGAGTAAAAAAGACATTTTGGAACGGATTAAACTCAAGCATTTGCTTGAATAGTTCATTTATGTAAATATGACAAAAAAAAAGATACACACGCACACACTTATATTTAAGGTTCTGTCTAAATTATTCATATTTCTGTAGATATTTTCATATTCTGTTTGCTATATCGTATTTATATGGAAACTAGGTAATTGCAGTAACATTTATATTCACTGTAAGTTTATGCCACTCTACTTATACTATTCTCTTTAATAGAAATGATAAAAGAGATGTAGCAGAAAATATGAACGTAATAAAGTTACTTACTTTAGGAATTAATTCGGATAAGAATTATGTAAAACAAAAAGATTTCAGAATTCACATTCACATTCACATTTATTGATTTATTAATTTTGAAAATTTTCATAATTATAAAGATTTTTTTTTGCTTCATACTGTTTGTGATGTAATTATATACATTTACATGCATCTAAAATGGTCTAATCACATAATGTATAATGCCGTGTCTCTAAAGTGTAATTATGGCTATTGCAATTATATTGTGACAAATTATTTAGTTCAATGCTGAAACCCACTTATACGTGCTCGGATTTGTCTTCATCAGTCCTGAAACACCTGTTCTACTTTTTGGTTCCTGACCCTGTCTAAGATATTTATCTCGTGACATTATTTCCTGTAAGATTTAGATGGTGCAATTTCTTCCTATCAAGGCTTACCCTGCGTTAGGCCTTTTATATTTTTCATTTTGGGTTGTTCTTGCAATCGATGTTCCGAGTGTCTTCTATAAATCATTCTATAGGTACATTACAAGTTGTCCTATTATTATTTGTTCACGTCTCTTCACTATGAATTATTATAGTGTACTAGATAGATGAATTTATTTTTATACTACTTATTTGTACTTATGATATATAGTTTGAAATCGCTTTTTCAAAATATAGTTTCCACAATAAAATGCTATAAATATATAAATATCAAACATTTTATATGTTGATTTATATATTAGTTATGTTATTGAATAATAATAATTGAATAATAAAATTAACACAGGGGTTTCCAAACCTTTTCGGTTTGCTGTGCCGTAAATATATCAAAATTATTTCCCAGCGCCTCAAGGTAAAACAAGATGAACTTTATGTTAATATATCAGAATTTTCGCTCAGTGTGGGAAGCCCTGACTTAACACATTAATAACTAGATTAATGACGGTATTGAGATAATGAAAAAATAATAACTGTAAAAGAAAGTTATCATTGAATTGTACATTCTATTCATTGTCAATCGTGAACAGTATGTTTGATTGGAATAGATTGTACATTAACATTGAACAGCAAAAAAATGTAAACTGCATTAGAAGCAGATGAGCACATATTACCAATTATTTAATAATCAAGCCGTTACTCGTGCTACATGCGGCTTACAAATAAACTTGATTTGTATATAAATAGAAATATACATTTACAGAGTCATATGTGAATGTCTAGTTTAAGTTCAATAATTTAAATTCTATTAAATAAATATATTGAAATAATTTACAAATAATATATTAATGTTATTATAATTACCCTGGAATACTATTTTTTCTTAATTATTAATTAATTATAAAAAAATACTTGTTTAAAATAAACTTTACGCTAATTAATTCATTCTAATTAATTCTAAAAAAAAATAATTTAATTTTGTTTTAACCATCTTTAATTGACTTATGTAAACCACTAGGTTGGTGGTTATTATTCTCTTCTTGGTTTATTTCTCAGCTAGTACGTTCGCCTCCCATTATTTTTTCCTGGGATTGCTTTATTGTGATTTTTTGGGTTGTTTATCTTTCTGGTGTATTATTGAATTAAAATATAGTTTACTTGTTAAATTAAGTTAAATGAAAAAATTAAATTTTTAATTTTCATTAATATATGGCTTGGATATTGATATTCATAAAAGACAGGCAGTGCATATTATATCATTCTATAGTCGCTTTCGAAGCGGAAGTTTTTAATTATTCAAATATATTTGTTATTCACGCTTGTTTGGCGTAGCAAAGTATGTTTAAGGGCGGGACACACTTTAGGGAACATCACGTACTTTGGAGACACGACACGATTATGTGGTAAGATCATTTTAAATGTATTTAAATGTATATCTGAGACGTACCACAGCTGGTTGGATACGTGACACTTCTACAGTTTGTTAGTTTACAAATGTATCTTTAAATCACATCAATGTTATATTTAACAGTAAATGTCATATATAATATTTGATGGCAAAATGTCCATATTTTGGTTTTAAATTGTATTAATCATATTTCTAAAATACTATTATATTTAATTTTATTTACTATACAGCATTTGATCACTACGGGCGACCTATTTTTTGGCGATCCTTGTCATACAGTAATACTTCGCATGTTTGACATATGTTACTAATCGTGGAAATAAATATATACAAAAATAAAATGCAGAAAAGAGGCTTGACTATATAAAAGAAAAAAAAATTGTTTTGAAATTCCAAAACTTGATTATAGTGAATTGGAACTAAGCTAGGTATTGCTGTATAGTGCTTTAAAACAGGGTTATAAATTAAAATACTATATTATGCTATAATTTATATTAATATGCAGCATGAAAATATAGGCATAAATTGGTGTAATTAAATTTATTTTTTATGTAATTTTCATAAATTGTTAAAAAAAACTGTGAGATTGGACTAAATTTAAATATATATTACCTCAAATGTTAATTTTGAAGGTGATGATTGTTTATAAAAAAATCTATTGTTTTTTTTTTCATTGGTGAAGTCCAGCATTGAAAATGTATGCAAAATGTATTATTACCTCGCAAATGATTATTCAAGGTTTATTTGATGATGTTTTATATGCGTACCACATTTTGTCCTCGTTATTTATTTACAATAAAGTAATAATTATTTTAAAATAAAACGCAATTAGGTCATACAATAATGTTATTGTACCTTTATAAATTATATAGTATAATTGATAATATAGAAATGTCCTCGACGAAAGTCGATCTAATTTGAATGCAGATGTCCATCATCCTATTGCAAGAGTTGCAATATGGACCAAAATGATGGATTATTCGCAACGTTCTAATTTGTATGTAAATTGGGCCATGTTATTCAGATGGAACGTTGACGATTGCATAATAAAAAATTGGTTGTTACTCGATATTTCATTGACAACTAATGATTTAGTTCTTTGTTTTGTATATTTCTGGATCAGCTGACTTTAATTACAGACATTTTATGTATCTAAAAAAGATTTCATATGACAATAAAACAATAAATATTTTATCTCAATAACTTTGTATCAAAATTGATCCATATTACTTTTAATATTTTAATACAGATTCTTCAAATAAACAATTGGGACTATTTTGTTATTAAATAATTATTTGTTGCACGTACTCGTCGCTGCGTTACGAGCGGCTCTTTAATCCTCTGGTATAGACATTAACTAACTATTGATTTTAACGAAGATAACCATAAACTACCTAACACATACTAGTTTCAACTCTAGCTGTAAATAATGTTATGAAACATGCGGATTAATACCTAATAATTTGTTGTTACTCGTCATATTATTCATATGTCATAAAGTGAGTGCACATTATAGTTAAAATAATAATTTTATTAAAAATCCAAGCTTGATATATTTTTTTCTAAAATGTTGATTATTGATGTATCAAAATATACAATTAATAAATGAGTTGTATGCGTTTTCTGATTATAATTGGTCTATCTTTTTTATATTTCCAATTGATATAATTATTAGTGCTTATTGAGTAATCAATAAGTTTTTTTTTACATTTATTTCATTAAAAAAAGAAAAATTAAATTATCTAATCTCTACATAATTTGGACGATTTGGACAATTTAAAATTGATTTATTTTAATTTGCTACATATCTTTTAGTATTATTTTTTTATTGAAGTATCCCACTTTGATTTTGTACATATATTAATAGATGATTTAACACAGATATCTATCAACTCTGTAAAATAATTCGCGTTAAAAATGATGGATCATTCGCAACGACCTAATCTGTATGCAAATTGGGTCGTGTTTTTCAAATAGAACGTTCATCGTTACATAATAAAACTTGCACTTGCTTGTTACATTATTGATTGCTAATGAATTATGCGCATCTTTTGGTTTTACTTTTATTGGATCTCTCGATATTAATTGCTTAAAGAGTATAAATGAACGAAGAGCACGCCGCATTGGTAAAGATGATGCCGGCAAAAGGCATCAAAACGGTTCGAAAACAAGGCGGCAGCTGTCCGATGATGGCATTGCATTGAAAGGAAACAAAAGCAGAGAAAACATTTTCGTTCGTCGAGCAATTCGAGTAGCAACTGTTTGAACAGTAATGTTTATTTGTCGTGACCAAATGGTAAACAGACTATACTAATTATATTAAAGTAAATGCTGTTCGAACTGTGTGACGTAAACGGTAATTATCATTAGTTTGTTAATGATACAGTCAATAATGTAATAATGAGCAGAAGGAATGTGGAGGCGCTTTTATGAGAGCGGTGCATAAGAGAAATTAGTAAGAAAAAATAAATAAGGGACTAATTAATTAACTATAATTGCGTTTATTTTTGCATCGTGTTTGATTAAATGGAGCACGACAGGTTTGCGTGAATTTATCGTCGTCCTTATTTTGCTCCAATTCTTCACCATAAGCGTGTGTATGCACCTATTTATTTAAATTTCAACTCACACGCTAGAAGTGCATCCTATTTCCGTGTTATTATTAAGCTCATAATTATTACCACCTATTAATTATAATACACACGATAGATAGCGATTCTGCGTATCAGGGTCGATTTCTCTGCAATTGGATCCTAGAAGTGTTTTTCAGATTATCTTAAAATCTCTTATATAATGCGTACATTATATTCTTAATACGCAGTTTTATACGCTATTTTTTTAATAAACGCTCATAAAGCTGATATTTGACATTATTATTTAGTTTTCTTTTATTAAAAGTTTTATATACTACATATAATTTATTTATATTTATTGTTTAAATATAAATAAATATTATTTGCAATTTAAAATACATTAAAAAAAAGTTATTACAAACGAATTTTCATTTCAATTTATCAGAAACTTTCGCACTAAATCAAGCATACATATTGTAAATAGAGTTTCTGAACCGGGATTTACCGGGACAAATTTCCCGAAAATTTTGGAAAATTGAAAATGGTACTAAAAAATATCTAAAACATGTACTTTATCTTTAACTCTGAAACATTTTCATGCAATAGTGATAGTTACGAAGATTCGAGAACTTTAAATATGGGAGATGAACTTAATGCATTAAGGCTACAAAGTATTCAATCTCCTACAAAACGTGATTATTATCAAATGCTAAAAAAATAATTTATTATTTTTGAAGTTCAATTTAGATCTTCTATATAATTCACTAAACTCCATAAAACCAATAAGTACTGTATGTGAGGACACAGGAAATTTCTCGAATTCCGAGAATTCCCGGGATTGCATTAAACGTGTCCCGCGAATGAAATAAATGTCGAGTAATTCTAATTGTAAACGAGTGCGCATTAAATTTAAGATTTTACGGTGCATGTGATCTGCTATGTCATCGTCCCTACTATATGGTAGCTAGTTTCCAATTCTGTGTAAATCCAGGTTCATAATTTTCGTCGTATAACGAAACAAAACAGAATTCAATTGTCCGGATATCCTGGTGCATGTGTGTAAAATGAATGCAAGAGCAGCTTTCATTGTTAACTATGCACCATAATTCCTCTAAATTAATATGAATCAGTAGACGTAAAAAGTAACTCTACATAAATGCATTTATTTTATGACATCCGGCGATATGAACAGTTGTTGAAGTGCGATGTTGAAATTTTCCACTGTCGCAACTTTATAATTATGCAAATTAATTACAATATATATACTTGAATATTCAAAAATCAAAAAAGTGAATATCAGAGTTAAATTATTACTTTCTGCAATATTATAAGTATTGTACTTTTAGAAGTTTTCCTCTGAACTATCCATAAATTACGAAGTCTTAACCGTGAGTAATGTGTGAACTTGGTGCTAGGATTTGTTATTATAGAAAATCGTTTATTCTAGAGAGCAACAGTATTCTATTTGTCTTGAACAGTAATTATAAATGAATATAAAATAATAAATGGTGAATGAATACTCTGTTAATATTATGCCTTTGCGTGACTTGAGAATAGCAAAAAGTTACTTATAGTTGATAGTACTCAATAATAATAAAGAATTTGATTAATATTTTTGGAACCTTTAAATAATTTATGTTTGGCATGCAGCTATTGTTTTCGCATTACCGACTTTACAGTTACGTAAACTTTATCTCAAGTTTTCTTAATTAACATACATTCAAATATTTATGACAATGTATTCGATTGATATAAATTGAACTAAAGATTTTTGAGAACTAATTAGTAGAGGTTTAGTATCGAAATACACTGTTTATAAAATACGTTAAATTTTTACTATAGGTCATGTCGTAAAAACGAATCGTTGCTGAGATTTCTCCACTTGTGGGAATTGTATCGACTTTGCGAAAATCTGCTTCGTGCACTTACGGATTTTTACTGTATTTCACTTATTGATATATTTGTGACATTTTATAGACGTTTGAGTTTGTCAACCATTACGATACGAATAGATGATACTTATGGTTACAACATATACTTCAAATATAAATCGGAAACTTATGATCAGTGTGTTATTGTTTCAAATTGTTTCAGTTTGAAATAATATTCTTTAAAAATGTTGATAATTTTATGAAAATCATTTAATCATTGAGAGATTTTCCTTTATAAATACATATACTATTTCCGATGATGATGATAAAAACTAATAACTATGCCGTGTTCATAAGCTATTGTTATATTATTAGAAAAGGTAGGTCAAATATACACTAGCAGTAAATAACATGCATAATGTTGAAAAAACTAATTGCTATTTATAAATTATTATCATTGTATACCTGTTTTTCTTTGAGCATGTTTGTTAATAGTAGAAATTTTATTTGATCTGAACTGGTCATTGACCACTAGGTCTGTGCATGTTTTT